GTAGTATTTCTTTACATGCATGATGTATGTTTTCAATTGAGATTGATTTAAGTTAGTCTTAAATCTGAACAATGGTTCAGCCGTATTGCTGACTCATCTTTCTTTATGAGCCTTTAACCTCAACTTCCAGGACAACGCCCACTTCTATGAGGAATTCAAATTCTGGTGAGAGCCCAGATCATCTATCACTTGCAACTGCCGCGTGGTTGCAAATGTTCCTCTTTCAAATGTGTGGTGCAGAGATGTATTGTAAGAGGAGGTGGCCTCTGAGAATAAACAAAAGATACTGGGTTAATTCCAATTCATTTGTGTATATTTGCCAATGACAACATTCTGGAAATGGCACTATACTAATATCAATCTGTTTATCTGAGCTTGGTGCTTGTTTCTTTCCTGGATATATAGGGAAGCTGTAAGTCTGTACTTATTGTAAGTCGCTTTGGACAAAAGCGTCTGCTAAATGCCCTAAATGTAAATATAAATGTAAATGAAGCCCCCTGTGCAAATGTTGCGTCTTCATCTTTATTTATCCGCCCACTTTATTTAAAATGTGTTTATGCAACTTGTCTGTGTGTGTTGCCACCCTGGTGAGGGGTAAGGCCCTGTTTAAACACACTGCCTCCATGGTTTGCAACAGCAAAGATCTTCAGTTGCCTTGTAGTGTGATGAATAAACACTAGCTGGTCAGTGTCTGTTGTACAGTTTTCATTCACTCTCTCTTGCTCTCTATGTGTGTGTCTGGGCCACAAATTTTAGATAAAAGGCAAGGTTGCATATCTATCCTTATCACAGTAATCCAACAGGATGAGGGTTCACCTGTCTTTTTGAGCTAATAGAAGATGACACTGTTCTGCCCAAAACACCCAAGAGACTATGGACAACCTTTTTGAACCATGTTCTGGTCCCAGCCGCATTTTGTCTACGAATAAAAGAACAAAAAGTGATGTGGACACACTTGTGCAATGTGCAATAGACTAAAAGTTCTGCTGCTGCACTGCTAATGTGCTGCTCACGCTAACACTCCTGTGTACACACAGTGTTAGTCTTGATATTTCCTGATATAGTCCTTAAAACCTTGGGGATGATATAGACTAACATTGTAGCAAAACAGACATATTATTTTTGTTATTCTAATATCTGTCACACAAAGTCACTTGAAAGGCTAAAGTGAAATAATAATTTTGCCTTTAAGGAAGGAACTTTCTTTAAATAATTACAGTATTTATTCCTGGTAGAAGCATTTCACACTCACACTTGGTTATGAAACCCTGCATGTAGACATTACAGGAAGTCTGTGCAATGCTTTTGCATACTGATTTGTGAGTTTTCCTCCAACCATGTATAGGTGCATGGAAATGGTCAATGGGGCTTAACCTGCTCCAGTGTCTCATAACTCAGATTGATTAATGAAACCTTTACAACCATGAAAGATTTTCTTGCTTCTCTGTGTCTGCTGGGCTCTCTTCTACGTGCCTCCTCGACTCAATGCACAGTCCCAGCCTCGGAGTTTCAGCTGGAAGGAGATTATCTGATAGGTGGACTTTTTGATATTCATCACGTCAGCACCATTGATTATCATGTCAGACCAGAGGCCTTTGACTGCTCCAGGTGAGTTTTACAATGATTTTTTATCAATATGTTGCGACACTTAAGCTAATGGAGAAAATTCAGGGTAAAATATAATAAACTGGAATGGCACTCTATAGACATTTACCTCTGCCAAGGACATTATATATCCAGCCCGGTTTGCTGGTTTGTTTGCTGGTTGGCTTGTTTGTTTGTCAGCAGACTATCACAAAATCTCCTAAACAGATTTGGTGGAAGGATGCAACATGGGCCAAGTGGGAACTCATTAAATTTTGGGGCGGATCCTAACCAAAGGAAGGATTCAATATTTTCTTTAAACTTATGAGTTAGGTTGTATTTTAAAATTTACATAAATTTCCCCAGGAATAATGCATGAATCCTGTTTAATAAAACCAGGTACATTTAGGGAACTGATTTCTATGAATGTGTGCAATTTGGTGCTACTTGATTGAATTTAAGGGGACTGTGAGGCTTTGGCAGAGGTATGCGCTCTATAGAGTGCCATTCCAGTTTATTACATTTTCAAGAGCTGTGCAACATGAGATCAATAGCTCTACCTAGTCTATAACGCCCCCTCTCTCTCAGGCACTGAGCTTGTTGCAAATAAGGATCTCTGAAACCAAACTGAGAACGCTAAACTCTACTGCTGTCTGTTCTTTGTCCACAGTCAACCCTTCCTTCTTCCAAATTATCGAAGGTTTCAGTTGATGAGATTCGCTGTGGAGGAAATCAACAACTCTACCGAACTGCTGCCAAATCTGTCTCTTGGCTATGAGATTTTTGACCACTGCTCAGACACACGGAATTTCCCAGCGATTTTTAACCTCATGTCAGTCAATGGCTTGATTGAAGCTTGGGGTGTAACACACAAGTCCAATGTATCTGACGTGATCGCAGTGGTTGGTCCTTTCACAACCACTCAGGCCCTGACCGTAGCCTCAATGTTCATGGTGAATCTCGTTCCTGTGGTAAGTTTGCCAACTGTATTTTTTTCTCCAGCTTGACTAAGTAATTAAAAATAAATGATATCAGGATGTAATTATCAATTCAAATAGTTTTATAATGTAAAACTGAATTTAACATTACATTTGAGGATTTATGTAAATGAATTTGATTAATTTCACTATTACTCTTTTGGCAGGTCAGTTATGGATCTTCTAGTTCTGTCCTTTCAAAGAAAGCTAAATTCCCCTCTTTCCTACGCACAGTCCATCCTAATAAAGACACCATAACAGTGATTGTTAGAATTCTGCAACACTTCAACTGGCGCTGGGTTGCCTTCCTTCACACTGACAATGATTTTGGCATTGATGGACTTGAAATGTTCTTAAATGTGATTAGGGACTCTGAGATCTGCCTGGCGTACACCAAAAGTCTCGATAACAAAATTAATTACTTGCAAATGTTCAAACAGATAGAGGAACAGAAAATACACATAATTATTGTTTTTGCTTCAAAAGTGAATGTTGAAGCTCTCATTGAATCAGCAATACAACTGAATATCTCAAACAAGGTGTGGATAGCAGATGATGGATGGGCCTTGAACAAGCAGCTCCCCAAAAAGAAAGGAATCAGAAATATTGGAACTGTGCTCGGAGTGTCTCAGACAGTCGTTGGGATACCTGGTTTCAGTGATTTCATCTCATCTTTTAAAAGCCACACTCAGTGTGGACATGAAGGACAGCAGACGTTGTGTAATCAGGTTTGCAACTGCAACAGCCTGAGTGCAGAAGATATCATTACAGCAGACCCATCTTTCTCTTTTCCTGTTTATTCTGCTGTGTATGCCATCGCTCACGCCTTACACAGTGTTTTGCAATGTGGAGCCAGCACATTTAATGACAGCACTGCAGTGTACCCTCACATGGTAAGTATACAATTAATCTCATTGAAGTTTCCCTCTTCATTGTGTGCTGGATCAATGTAAATAGTTCAGTCAATATCACACTATTTAGTCCAGCTTGTTTATTTGCCTACAACATTCAAATTCCACTGTACAGTTTTCTGGTGAAGCAATAGTTTTGTAATCTCTGTCTGTCCTCTACCTGTCCTTCAGGTATAGGATCCTCCTACTCTGTCGTTAACTCCAGACTGAATGAAAGAACGGGTGCAGTCTGATCAGTCCACATGCAGGGGAGGGACAATGAGAGAGAACGATTAGAGCTGAAGTTGACACTAGAGAGCCTTTTTACACAAGTAATAGATCCACACCATGATGAAGCTCTTTTTTCAGTCTTTATAGGGATATTTGTAAGGGTTTGTCTGTAATGTCTACTGTCACCTGTAAACTTGAATCTGTTGATAGCCATCAAAACAGTGTCCATAGGTTTTGTGTGATTTCCACACACTTTTAGTTTTTTATCCTTTAAAAGTTTGGATTAGTGTGCATTCCCATACAACCATTGCCTTGGTGTCAGAATTAAACAAATGTCACGACCCTAGCTCGTAGAGAGAAAGGAAAGTACATAAACAAGCTGGAATTGGTAATTGAATTTAAAGTTATTTATTTACAGAGTTCCAAATAAGGTTTTAAACAATTGAAATGAGGCGAACAGAAACAAAGGCCTGCAAGTGTTGCTCAAACAAACAAATAGATATAACCAAAAGAGGACTCTAACCTAGAGCTAATGCTTCTTCAAAAACAAATGCAAAAATAATCTCCTCTAATAAACACTAAACCTGCAAACAGAACACAAAGTAAGCAACGCCCAAGAAACTAGTGAGGCTATACAGCAACACACTAAGTTTAACACTCACACAATTCATTCACATCCAACAAACAAAACGTATTGCCAATCAACCAACTCGAGAGACGCCTCAGCTGGAGACTATATAGGGCAGATGCTCTCTGCTGATTGGTTTAGCAGTCTGGGGATCCGCCAATCAGGAGGAGGGAGAGGAAACACCTGCAGGTGCTGCTGAGTGAAGGCAGGCCACGCCTCCACCTGTCGGGCCCAATCCTGCATCCGGGACTGCAGAGCCCATTTAACATAAATACACAGAGAAATGACATATGCCGAGGAGATAGCCTGGCAGCCATAACAACAAACAAGTTGTACAGTCTGACAAATCTCTTCTTATAACCCGTCAAGAAGAGTATCACACTATTGTTGCTCCCTCCAACAGTGTCTGAGGCAGCTCAGCAAATTGAAGTGAAATATTATAACAAGCAGTAAGGTTTGGAGGTAGTTTAGTCATTTGAGGGAATTTTAGTATTTCCACAATTAGTAGAGTCAAAACTAATGATCAAAATTCCTTAAGATAAACGTATTTATGATTTTATGTCACCTGAGCTTCTGTCAAACAACATCGTTAAGATATCTCTCCTCTCATCATGATCACATGTGCATCGAGAAGTTGCTCTGCAGGATTCAGTGTCTCTTGTTCACACATGCAAGTGATGCTCATCTGATCTTTGTGTGTCCACATCAGGTTCTCGCTGAGCTGAAGAAGTCAAACTTTACGCTTTTAAATCAAAGTGTTCAGTTTGATGAGAACGGTGACCCCAAGTTTGGATCCTATTCTATAGTTTTCTGGAACAGCAGTGGTAATGCGCAGGAGATCGGCTTTTATCATGTCCACCCATCGGTCAATTTTTTCATCAACAGCACAGAAATAGAGTGGTACATGAGTGGAGAGGTGAGTTTATTTTTTAACTTATCTTGTGTAATACAATACAATAAGATGATCAGTTTAATGTTTGTTTTGTTTCTTGATCTTTCCTCCATTGATGTGTGCATGTGTGTACATCTGTACTTTAATAAGTGCAGTGTATAAACAGTGTATAATGATGAAAATGATTTGGTTTGTTATTATCGGGTGCACATGTGTACAAACTTTATTTCATAAAAGCTGTTAATGTGTCAATGTGTAATCTACAGGCCCTTTTAGAAAGTGCCTATTGTTACATTTTATATATAGTTTCCTGTGTATGTTTGTCTGCACACTTCACTGCATTCCTTCTTCACTTATGTACTTATAGATATTATATTCACTTCCATTATAGTATTATTAGTTGTTTTTAAATACGCATCCTGTACAGGTGCCTACTTCACTGTGTTCCCCAGAGTGTCCTATAGGATATGTAAGAAAGTCAGATGAAATCCACAAGTGCTGCTTCACTTGTCAAATCTGTTCCAGTGGAACTTATGTCAACAGCACAGGTAAATAAATCCTTATTACTTTCAAATGGACACATGTATACGCTTCCATTTCAACTCTTAGATATTTAATATTGTGAAAAATTAAAGCAACTTGAATTGAACAAACCTTATCTTGGCAGAACATACATTATGAAATAAAAAGAGTTACACAACTTCCTCCACAGTCTGATTATCTTTTTACAACTGTATTAACAAAGTGTCTCTCTCTCTCTTGTTAAACAGAGGATCCCTACCAGTGCATGGCCTGTAAGGAGACAGAGTGGTCTGCAGAAGGAAGCTCATCATGTAACCTGCGGCTGGTGGAGTACATCCCATTCACAGACATTGGGGCTATACTGATCATGGTCGGGGCCTGGGCCTTGGTGGGCATCACACTCGCCATGTCTGTTCTCTTTGCCGTGAACTACAACACCCCTGTTGTCAGATCTGCTGGGGGACCCATGTGCTTCCTAATCTTAGGCTGCCTCAGTCTGTGTAGTATCAGTGTTTTCTTTTACTTTGGCAAACCAACTGTTTCTTTTTGTATCTTGAGGTTCTTACCGTTCTTCTTGTTCTACACTGTTTGTATCTCATGTTTTGTTGTGCGCTCCTTTCAAATTGTTTGCGTGTTCAAAATGGCTGCCAAGTTTCCCAAGCTGCACAGCTGGTGGATGAAGTATCATGGACAATGGCTGGTCATCACTGTGGCATTTGTTACTCAGGCAATCTTCCTTACCATTGGCTATTCCTCTGCACCCCCCAGGCTCTACAATGAAACAGTATGGTACCCAGATAAAATCATACTTAGTTGTGACTTCAATCTGAAAGCCTGCTTTGGTTCTATATTTATACTTCTGTCTCTGTGCAGTCTTTGCTTTATTTTCTCCTACATGGGAAAAGACCTCCCCAAAAATTACAACGAGGCCAAAGCGATAACGTTCTGTCTGCTGCTGCTGATCCTCAACTGGATCATCTTTGCCACTGAATACATGCTTTACCGGGGAAAATACATCCAAACATTTAACGCCTTGGCAGTGCTCTCCAGTCTCTACTCCTTTCTGTCGTGGTACTTCATTCCAAAATGTTACATCATCATTTTCCAACCTAAGAAAAATACACAGCAGTACTTTCAAGGTCTCATTCAGAACTACACCAAAACTATTAGCCAGTAGCTGACTGAGGCAAATATTTACACGCTGATATGAGAAAAGTTTTTTGAAAACTTTTAATACAGAACATATAATTTGGCTTTTTAATATATATATGTATTTAATATATTCAATGGTTGTCTTGTTTACTTTTCAGTCATCGTTTTTGCAGATATCTCTGCCTATTTAATCAGGTGTTTATTGTGGAATGAATTGAAAAGAACAATATTAAGTTAATTTTAAATCAAGACACCATATTAAAAATTAGTGGCACATTTACTGCCATTTCGCAAATGTTGGAAATATGTTCCTAAACAGAAGCTTGAAAGCTTTACCTTTGTACAAAATATAAATTACAATAATATGACGGACTGTGTCAGCCACATGGAACATTGAATTGTCACAATTATTTATCTTTTATTTTGATTAAATAGGCGACGTGATATGCCTCAGTTAGGCAGACACATAAATAATTATTAATGTTTATTGGTTTACTTTGTAATATTCTGAAGGAATTATATTTGAATATTTTACCTGTGTAATGTTAGTAAGATATAAAACACATATTTATAACATTATCTTGAAGTTATCCATGTACATTTGGTTGCTAGTGAATTATTCTTTCAACATCTTTGGACGTTGTGTCATTAGAAACTTCATATGAAGTTAACTTCGTTAACTCCATGAACTATCAAATATTTTCATGTATATGAACAGTACTTATATTGATTAATACAAATACATAACATGGAATGTGTACTGTTCTCTCTCAAGTTTTTTTAACTGGTGTAATTCAAATTTCACCACACGATGGCACCACCCCACAGTAACACTTCAAACAACAGCACCCCCCCCCCCACTTAAAAAACTGTATTTTTCTGTAACGTTAACATACAAAACTCTAAGCCATGCTCTTTAATGAATAACATCATACTGTTGAGCCTTTTATTCAAGTTTAAGATAGAAAGCAACGAAATAAACAACTTTTGTAATGATGTGAAAGTTAGGCTGGAGAGGTGGGGGTGACAAGCTTTTGTGCATTATGTACACTTGCATTTTATTTATTCTGTTTACACACATTTATCTAATTTAATTATTTTACTTTAATTCATTCAATCAATTATGAAACTAAGTCACTGGGATAAAAGATTCTGGGCCTGTGGCAGTTGGATTTCTTCTCCCGTATGAAGAGATTAAGACTCAATTTGTCAAAGTTTATTGCTGCTCATACATTTGTATTTCTGATAATTTATTAAGCATTTAAAACATCTCGCCCGCTCTCATGCACAGTAGAATCTTCTTGTTCCCTCTCAGAGCCACATTATGAATTACATCCTCACTGCACTGTGATACACAATCGTGTTGCTGGACATTGGATGTGAGCACAGTTGTAGTATTTTCTAAAGGTATGAGATACCTTTACAGACATATTTAAGATAGTTGATGTGCATCTGCAAAGGTTTGGCCAAAAATTATATTAAGAGTAAAATGTTCATATCAGTCTAAACTATAATAATCATCACAATCACTTTTTTTTTTTAAGTTTAAAGACTTGTTTTTGCTCCTGAGTGAAGGTTGTGGTTTTAAACGCTTATGAGCAGGAGATGACAAACATTTCTCAAATCTGAGGGAGATCTGTTATGCTTGTGTAATAAATTACCTTAACAATATGTTGAACCTTTGTCATTTTGCTATAGTGATAATTATTGGTATTTTGATTTTGTGTGTGTGTGTGTGTGTGTGTGTGTGTGTGTGTTTGTGTTGCTAATGTTTTTATTGCAAAAATGTGTGTCTCCAATTCATTTATTTTGTTGGAAATGTATATTTGCTGTTTGGCTTCTGGTCCAGTTGTTCAACATTAAGTTGACCTGTTGTCACCACTGTTTGGGATACGTATAGTTTCCATGTCTGCAGTACATGTCGAGTATAAATACAGTGCATCACCCCCACTGATGACCTGAGACAGTGTGGGTCGCTGACATCCCACCACTTCCCTCTCCAGCTGAAGTTTCACGCCGTGCAGCTCAGTGAGACCGGGGCGCACATATCAAGTGAAACGGAAAAGGCCTTGCCGCAGGGGGTATGTGACCATTCCAGAGGGTAAATTGCCATTTTGTTGTAGCCATTCAGTTTCCTGGCGAGGAGAAGGGGAGGATGGACCGTGAAACTAGGAACGAATTGGTAAATAGTGCCACTTAGCATGGCATATGGCGCGCCTGGGGAGGCGAACGCTGACACCAACAAATTGACGATTTCATACCAATTTCACAATCACACTCACCACACACGTTGTCACGCAGATTTTGCGCATTGACCAACATGTGACTTGTTGCTAGATTTGCGTGATGCCCCACTGTTTGCTCTGGGTGATTGGGATAAGACTATTTAAAATTACAGGTTGACATATAATACTAATTTAAATGTATTTGAAATTGGTTTAAATAACTGAGTCAAGATCTAAATAGCATCTAAAGCATTAGTGTGTTCATAGGCAAACAATTCGTTTTTTGAATGATTTGTTATATTCTTGAAGTGGCTAATTCTGCTGAGGGGGGCACATATTTCTGTTTTACAAAATATGGAGCGAGGAAAATCGGAGGAACGCCCCATGGCTTTTCACTCGTACCTTTCAATTTTCCACGTTAGCCAGATAAAGGGAAAGGCCTGGGAAAAAACTTGGCAAGCGACTGGTTCTTCCTTTTGCACCCCAAGCAAAAACAAAACACACATTAACTGGAGGCCGTTTAGGTTTGGTGGCCATATGGGATTTGTCTATAAATAATTTTCTTCTTTTATACCATGCTGGAGCCAATAGATCTGCCTCCATATTTCCCCAAACTTCAAATAACTCGTATTGCTCTCATTGCCACACATATTGATCAGTTGTGGTGTTTAGAATTCAGATTTAGAGGCAACTCATCCCAGTAAAACTATATTATTCTTTCTTGAGTGAGCCTGGATATCTTTTAATTTACTCACTGTTAATACAAACTGTGGTTCCTTTCAGCAATGATCAGTACTCTGAGTTAATTTTTAGTCATGCGCCATTGTGCCAATGGTCTACAGAGCCTGACACTGTGCGTAAAAAGATGGATCTCGTCAATTGGTCTGCCCGTAGCTCACAATCATAAATCCATCAAGTCAAAACTAAACTCCTGTGAGATGAATTACATTTGGACCCTTCTCCAGCTACTCCATCCAGTAGAAACATCATGACAGGTTCACCTCGGCGCAGAGGTAACATACAGGCCATGCGGAGAAAAGACTAAAGAATTTCCTCTCGGATCTGTTTTGATGTGCTTTTTAATCTCCAACCAAACGCTTCATTTCCACGTTGGTCATATGCCTGTTGTTTTACGCACGGCTAAAGACAGTGCGCCGAGGCCTGGTTATTCTCATTCTAATCTCACTCAAGTCGTTCAGAGTAAATGGCAGATGTTTTGCAATTCAAGGCGCATCAATGCCCATGCGCTTTAGTGTTTAACAATGGCGCGCTCCTTTTGTTAGGCACTTGTGTCTTTCAGTTCAGAGCTCGACAAAGGCTTCATCCTCCAGCGAGTTATAAAGTTACTTTCCAGTCAGTTCATTTCGGCTCTTGAAAAAACCTTAAGCGATGTTAATGTGCACCTCTGGTCTTTTCATGCGGTAACCCCGGCACACACAGGCAAACAGAGGCCATTGTGTCCCCGAACCAAAGTAAGAAGTCTTTAAATAACCCGAGGAGCACTCCATAGAAATTCATGATGCTATTTCTATTTGATGTTTGATCAGAGCTTCGTCAACAGGCCCGTCGCGTGGCTCTCCAGACAGTCCAGTCCATATTTATAATATTTCCAGTGCACATCTCCACGTACCTGCTCATGTTCTACTGTGCCCTTGTTACGCACAATGAGTTTTGGTCACACCACTGCTGCCTCGGGTCCATATGAATGGAAGGCGGTTCATCGATTTGCTCCGCTCACGGTGAGCCAAATTATGGGCCTGTGTTTGCATATTTTAACTGCGTTCAGCTATGATGTCCAAACATGGAAAGCTTTTAACTTACATGCACCGCAATGCATGCATTTACTAAATTGAAGATGTATGGTAGAAATCTGTTCAAACTTTGGTCAGTCTTAATTGTATTCTGCACATAATTACTTGTAGACTTACAAACAGTGTAAGGTGTTGTTATTAGAATCCGTCAGGTCAATTTATATGGCTTTAGATCATTTTTAATTTATATAAACGTACATGTAGTTAGATCCTGGGATTCTTTGTCATCTATTGTTATTCTTAAACACGATTACCCACCTATTGTTTTCCTCAGAACTGCCCTAAATGGAAGATGTAGCTAACCACTGCATTTCTTTTATCATAGGCCACTGTTTGGCGTGGGCCTATAACCATTGGCTTGCAAATGTCTCAGTTTCCCTCCAGGCTGAAAAAAGTTTATTGCGGTAATTGCATAATTGCTTCACTAATTGTTGTTAACAAGTTCCCCAATAGTCCAATTATTACAGCAGCAGTGACGGGACCCCGCCGGCAGGCATCCATGACAAAGGTCCGATAGGGTTAATGAATGACCCGGGGCTGAAAAGTGAAAGTGCAGTGAGAGCCCCGAGCCTTTTTATAAACATACACTTAACTTGTTCTTTAATGGCACTTGCATTATTACGTCAAATTGGGACACAAGTTTCTCGTTGCGCCATTCTCATGGATAGACGAGGACACAGCGGCCTTTGAGAGGTGTGGTATTGGAGGGAAGGTGTTTTAAAGTCTGTCTCCATTCCTTCACTGTACAGAGCAGGAGATACTTTAGTAAATAGCACCAGTCTCGCTGTCATTCTGCAAATCACCCCTCTCGCCTATATGGGAGCCAACACTAATTGAAATTATACCGAGTAATCAGCGGTGAAATCCCCCCTCTGAGGCGCAGAGTCACCAGACAGGCGACTGTTGTGATGCCACCACTCCGCGCTCAAAGCAGCGCTCCACGGTCTGCTGTTAAAGAGCAGGCGTGAAAACGCACATAATGTGGCGCT